GATTAAGAATGCTCAACCTATATTTCCTCCTTAAATACTTGATAGACACCATTAGGGCCTAGAGCCAGTACTATTCCCAGTCCCTGTGCACATCCAGTACTATTCTCTAATCCTTTCAACTATTTTCTGCCCTGGCCTCAGGTAACCCCTTGCTGGTCACTTCTCAACTGGATCCTCGCAGGGGGTGCTACGGAAGACCCTCAAGTTTTCTCTCTGTGCATCTCTTGCCTACATCCGGTACAAGTACTCTCCCGTGCAAATTCTAGCTGCCTGTCCTTCTGAACGCTCATCTCCTTCGGAACTCAGGGAGTCAGCTGAGCTCTGCTGGGACCCCCAGGGCCCTGGCCTGCGAATCCCTGCCAGAAAATGAGCAGAGACAAGTTAGTGCTCACCTAGGCCTACTGTGGAAGAAAAGACACTTGGTCTCACCGGCTCCAGGCTCAGCACCCTAAAAGCCTTGGGGCTTCCTGCATGAGAAGGGTGATGCTGGAACCATCTCTTGCTGCAGAGAGGCAACTCTGAGCGGCCCCTCCGCAGCTTAGGGTGAGGCTGCTCACCAGAAACTGCAAACCTGGACTAGAGGCTTGGGACTTTCAGCCCACCCTTGAAGACAGGGGCTAGATTGAGTTCATCACTGCTGGCTAAAGATTCAGCACACTCTAACGGGCCATAATTCGCTTGTCTCTCTGCCAGGTGGCTCTGAACCACCGGTGGTACATGCACAACTGTGCCACTGGGCGGCATGGGTCAGTCCCATGGGGTGGTTCAAGCCACTTGATGGAAGAGCCATGCATTATCACTGGTGGTTCAAGCTGGCAGGAACACACTAATCGATATCTACATACTGACATCTCCATGACACCCCAGTGACCAGATCTGGAGAACTGGGTTGTTGAACACATCAAGGTGCAGGGAGGGCAGTGCACTCAGAGGGGGCACAGGTGTTACACACCACCTCCACCTCCCAACCTTGCCCTTTTGGCTACTTCTGACTTGCATCCTTTAGAATAAACTAATAAAGGTAAGGAAAGTGTCTTCCCAAGTCCTGCAAGTCGTTCCAGCAAGTTATCAAACACAAGGAAGGAGGCAAGGAGAGGGTCATGGAAACCCCGGATGTACAGCCAGTTGTCAGAAGTACAGGTGGCCAGGGACTTGTTGCTGGCATCTGAAGCTCGGGCAGTCTGCGAGACTGGGCCCCTTCGAGTTATGGAATCTGAGGTTAACTCCAGGTAAACAGTGTGAGAATGAAAATGAACTGTTGGGCACCCAGTTAATATCCGGAGAATGGGGACAGTAGCATTGGAAAAGATACCAGCTATTTAGTGTCAGAAACGGGAAAAAAATCTCATTACATGTTTCTCAAGAGATCGCTCTTGGGCAGGCGATGTAGCTTACTAGTAGGGCACGGGCCACATGCGCAAGGCCCTAGGTTCCATCCCCAGGTCCCCAGCATGAGGGGGTGAGGGG